TTGGGAGTGCATATAACAATATATTTATACTCATGCACCACTTTGGATGGGAATGTCGATTGGGGTATCCATGGAGAGTTTAGTTTATTAAAGTATTTGCAAAACTTCCTGCCATTATAAAAATAAGAGAGGTTTATGTAAAGATAAAAATAAAAAAGAAGGAAAAAGGAGAAATGGGTGTAATATAAAAGGGAAAATAAAGCAGTGTTGTGGGTGAAGGGGGATAGGGGGTCGAAAATAAAACGAAAGTTTGAAGCCTAACTTTGTTGAGCAACTAAAAACAGCCCACCCGCTGACTTGAGTTGATCAATTGACAAATTTAATAAAGTATTTGTAACAAAGATAGAGAAGTGAGGAGAATAAGGTATAACAGTACTTACAGCGTAAGATAATCCAATAATCCAGTAATTCAATGATCCACTAGATGTTAACAGGGCGAAAGCTAATTGACAAGTGTTAAGTAAAGTGGAAGGTCTATATTATATGAATGTACAATGTGAAGCCATACTAAATTAATTTGTGAAGTGATTAGAGAGGTACATACATTAAACAATCATATTTAACAACAATAAACTTAGACACACAATATGATGACAAGGGTATAGATTAACATGAAGCCATTATTATGTTGTACAATTATGATTAGAAGAGTTATTCCATATTTAACAAGTATATAAACAACTAAGAATTTAGAAAGACAATATGATTAATAAGGATTTAGATTCACAGTAAAATCATAATAAGGAGAGACAACAACACATAATTACACTAAAATAACACAGTAATAATGTCCTTGAGGGATAAACCGAGGTGTGAGTGTTAGAATAATAAGTAAAGGGAATGATATGAATGAATTGGTAATTACAGCGTTATAAATTCCCATGCATTAATTTTTAATAGCTACATCATGGGCCCTAGGAATAAACAATCCAAGAACTTTATTTAATTCAGGTGAAATATTTTGATGTGTATAGCTTCTTTTACTTTCCGAATTTTCTTGTTGTGTTGTTATACTGCCAGACTTTCTACCTTGTTCCGTTTTATTTGGTGTCGTGGGTGGCCCTTCAAGTGTTCTGCTATGACGGATGTGTTACTTGAGGCTCTTGACTTGTGTTCAACTGGTCATTTGGTTTCCCCGATACAGGTTTTTTTTTCACACGAGCAGCTAATTTTGTAGATAGCTCCCTTGAGTTGTGCGGGACTGGTTGGTTGCAGTTTTCCATTGGCTTTCAAGATCTGTTTAAGGGATGTGAGGATAGTGAATGAAGTGTCAATGTTGTTTTTCTTTAATAGTCGGCTAACCTGATAGGTGAGGTTTCCATAGAATGGCAGGTTTCCTCTGGCCTCTGTTGGTTACTTCATAGGGTAGCCTGAATCTGTTTATTGACTATGGTTGGAGGGTAACTATTTAGGTTGCAGAAAACGTGTCGTAAGTGGCCCAATTCATCATGAAGATATTCTGGTTCACATATATTCATGGCTCTGCGTACTAAGGAAGATATAAGGGCTTTTTTAATGTAGTGGGGGTGACCTGAGTTATAATTGATGTACTAGTCTGTATGCGTTGGTTTACAGTAAAGCTTGGATTTCATACGGCTGTTTTGTTTGTGGACGTGAACATCTAAAATGGTAGGGTTTCTTCTTTCTCTGTCTCTATTGTGAATTTGATCCCGGGATGCTGGTTGTTTAAGTGATCCAACTGGGCCATGGCTTTATCCCGTTCTTTCAAAACAACAAAGGTGTCGTCGACCCTGCAAAGCCAAACTAAGGTGGTGATGGGGGACGTGCTGTGGGTGCGTTCTTCAAAATGGGTTAGGAAAATTTGGGGACATTATCGGGGAAAAGGGGACTTTCCAGTGGTAACCCATGAACTTGTTGGTACAAGTCGTCGCCCCATGTGAAGTAGGTGGAGTCCAAACAAGTGTTGATAAGATCTATGATGCTGTTGGTAGTTAGTTTGGTCTCAAGTGGAACTTTTAGTTTATCAGTGCGAGAGCGAAGAACTTCGGTGTCTTCTTGGCGGGGAACATTAGTAAATGGGTGTGTAACATCATAGAATACAATTCTTCCAGGTTGAGTGATGTCTCGGATTTTGTGGAAGAATTCAGCGGAGTCTTTGATGAACGATCAAGATGGTCCCTGGAGTAGACTATTAACCTGTACGTACCCTCTAATCACTTCACAAATTAATTAAGTATGGCTTCACACTGTACATTCATATATATAGACCTTTCAGTTTACTAAATGTCATTGTGCTTGATAACGAAAAGAGAATACTTATCGAAACGTCGTGCTGGTGTATAATAAACCAGTGATTGTTGTCCCATATGACCGTGTTCGTTCTGCTCTATTTAAGTCATGATGATAAGCAGAACGATAGCAATTTTAAAGATATTTATTTTTTATGGTAAAGGTGTTAATGTTGTACATTATAAACCGCATCTAGACAACTCTCTACTTTGTGATAGTAAAGAACATACAATCCAGAAAGGAATAGATAGTTTTATTGCTAAATTCAATGTTACTTTTAATCAATTTAAGATTGCATTATCAGACACAGAATATCAGCTTTTTAAAACCTATTGCATGCCTTTATATGGTAGTGTATTGTGGGACTTTGAGCACAAGTCCAAAAAATAACTTTTACTGTACTGGCGTAAAATGAAATGAAATGGGGTTTAACGTCCTACTGTTCTGCTCCTAAACTGGGCTAATGAAGACGGGCATACGCCATACAGTGTGCTATGAGGGAAATTTTGCCCGGGCAGCGGCGCTACAGCCTACTCTTATATCGAACGAATAGACAGCTGTCCTTGTCAGGCTCTACGTCCTGCATCACTGACAAGGGGAAATCACGCCGGAAAATCTGGATGAACTTTCTTGGCTAATGCAGGGATCGAACACCCGATCTCCAGGCTAGCGAGCCAGCGTCTTACCCACTTAGCCACGTGATCCCCCAACCTGGCGTAAATGTATTCGTCGACTACTTAGTCTGCCTTATCGCACTCATAATAAACTACTACCTATTTTATGTCAAGATCGCCCTGTTGAAAATCAGCTGCACTTAAGATTTGTGAAATTCTTTAAAACATCAGTTAACAATAAGAATCTTTGAATCAGGACTTGTAGTAAACATGCTTTTTATGGAAGTGGTTCTAATATTTGTAATAATATAAATTATATTTGTTTTAAATACAGTATTTTGAGGTTTAACTTTTTAGAGTGAAAAACACATTTTGTTCTAATATTGACAATGATATTGTGAATTTCAAAAGTCAGCAACTGTGAAAAATATGATATATTTAATAGAATCAAACAACAAAGATAAACCCCGTGAACATATACCTGAAATAATTCACCACCTATATACTGATTGAATAATCTTTACATTATTGCGATTGTATAATATTGTTTTATATCGTTTGTAATTTATGTACGTATTTATAATTGAACTGTACCTGAGTACGAATAAAATATATTATTTATATTATTATTATATAAGAAGATGTAATCCATGTAGAGTTATATATATATAAACAGTGGTGTTGGATTCCAGGCGAAGAAGTACGGTGGCCTTTTAATACGTTGATTTATACCTTTTTCTTATAATTAATACGTTGATTTATACCTTTTTCTTATAATTAATACGTTGATTTATACCTTTTTCTTATAATTTACCTCATATGAGAAATCGCAGTGGAAACTATGATAAATCTACGGTGGCTGATTTAGGACACGCAAATCTACGGTGGCTGATTTAGGACACGCAAAAAAAAAAATATCTCACACACACACTCCATCCCATGCTAATCACCACCACTAAATATTTCCCATTATATTTACCCCCTACCAAGTGGGGAGTATATCGCATGTTATTATACGAATCAATAATTGTATATATCGAGGTTACAGAGTTTTGCTAGGAGAGACTGACATTTCCTCTTATCTAGAAGCTCCGGTCTGATCCAAGGTTATTTATTTCATGTTGGAACGGATCATTGTATTATCTAGAGTGCTCGACTTAGTACCTCGAGCGCTCGAGATATTTTTTTTTTTGGCGTGTCCTAAATCAGCCACCGTACAAATAAAAAAAAACCGTGGAAAACTTTTTCCCGGCGGTATAAACCCTTTGTGTAAACATTTTCTCCGCGGTGGAGACCTTTTTCTCCGCGGTATAAAGTTTTGTTCGCGGTGGAAAGGTCTACACCGCGAAGAAAAGGTTTACACCGCAGAGCAAAGATTTTTCATGTTTTTTAATTATTATCATAGTTTTATTGCGATTTATTACATAAATACTGAATTAATATGCATACTATCATGATTTAGACCTTGTTATTGGTGGGGGTTTTTTTTCTTATGAATTATAAACAGTTTGTTTATAAATTAATCATATCTCACAGAGCCCAGAGCCAACACCAGGGACAATTTTAATTGTAATATCTCATATTTCAAAACGTCTTTGTGGAGATTTCAATTATTATAATATAACAAAATATTTATTTACAACTATAGTTGCATCCCTATCCGACCCCGCAATGAAAGGAAATCGCCTACTAGAATGCTTTAAAAAAAACATTATTGTTTTTTTTTGGGGGGGGGGGGTATTCTTTTTTTTTGGGGGGGGGGGGGGTAACAATAAAAAGCGAAACTACTATATTAATTTGATTACTTTTCTCAAATACAAAACCTAAAATGAAAGGAAAGGAAATGATGACATACAGTACGATATGAGGGAAATTTTGCCCGGACAGCGGCTCTACGATCTACTCTTATATCAGTTGTTAGTGTATGTTTAAGCTTACTTGGTACATACTGTAATGTTTACGTAGTGGTGTACAATCAGTAACGGTTGATTGCTTCGTTATTTGAACCGAAATTTGAAACGACGAGATTTGTGGCACAAAACAAATTAACACTGGCTATAATATGATAGCAGTCAATTATATATGTACGTTGCTATGTATTTTAATAAAATATGGGTAGATAAATATATAGGTATATAGAGCAAGGACTAACATCCGCGAGAAGACACGTCAACTTGTTCAACTACAACCCGAAGGTAAGAATAACTTATGCGCCATAAATAGTATAGCTCCATCTACGTTCTCATCGATAGAGTGAAACTTTGTTAATAAAACATCTAAATTATTTATCGGGGTGATTTAGGAAGCCGACATGTTATACATTAAATTTGGACTGTTCACTGTATTTCACCAAACATAATTGATTAGAAATTACAATATTACTTCTAAAACTTGAGTGGCTAGGTGGGTAAGGCGCTGGCTGACTAGCCTGGAGGTCGGGTGTTCGATCCCTGCATTGGCCGAGAAAGTTCATCCCGATTTTCCGACGTGGTTTCCCCTTGTCAGTGATGCAGGACGGAGGGCCTGACAAGGACAGCTGTCTAGTCCTTCGGATGAGACGAAAAACCGAGGTCCCGTGTAAACATTGGAATGCACGTAAAAGATCCCTTGGCAGTTGGAATTCGATATAAGAGTAGGCGATAGTGCCGCTGCCCAGGCAAAATTCCCCTCATAGCACACTGTATGGCGTATGCCCGTCTTCATTAGCCCAGTATAGGATCAGAACAGTAGGACGTTAAACCCCATTTCATTTCATTTCATTTCTAAAACTTGAATATAAATCACTTTATATACATCTATATTCCATTAATGTGCTTTTGCACCCAATGTCGCCAATATTAAAGGTCACCGGAAAAGGTTCATAAATGTTTTAAATAATGCAAGTAATTATGTCAACATATCCTTTCCATAAGTATAACACGAACCCGAATGTCAATATTACCTGCAACAGGTTAATTTCAACATTAGTAATTTCCCCCATCAAAAGAATAGAGCCATACGGGCTTTGAAGTAAAAGAAATAAAACAGTGAAAAATACATCCAATAGAATATAATAGTCGGACCTCAATTATAAAACCCCTCTTTGCTAAATTGACATCATTGGGACACATTTACGCTTATTTTAAGGTTCCAACGGTGAAAAATACATCGCATTGATTATTGTAGTCGGACATCAATTATAAAAACTCTGTTTGCTAAATCGACATCATTTGGACCCATTTTCGCCTATTTTAAGGTTCCAAAGAATAGAGCCATATGCCCTTTAAAGTAAAAGAAATGAAATGAAATGAAATGGGGTTTAACGTCGTACTGTTTTGCTCCGAAGTGGGCTAATGAAGACGGGCATACGCCATACGGTGTGCTATGGGGAATTTTGCCTGGACAGCGGCACTACGGCCTACTCTTATATCGAATTCCAACTGTCAAGGGATCTTTTACGTGCACGCCTATGTGTACACGGGACCTCGGTTTTTCGTCTCACCCGAATGACTAGACAGCTGTCATGGCAGGCACTCCGTCCTGCATCACTGACAAGGGAGGACCATGCCGGAAATTCTGAGGGAACTTTCTCGGCCAATGCAGGGGTCGTACACCGAACCTCCAGGCTAGCGAGCCAGCGTCTTACCCACTTAGCCACCGTAGAAATAAAACAATTCAAAATACATCGCATAAAACCCCTCTTTGCTAAATCGACATCATTGGGACGTACGAAGTGTCTGGAATACTGACCACTGATGAAATCCACATCATGACTAACTTCCCTTGATATGACAATAATGTTGAATGAAGATAAGAATACCATGACAATGAATTTAACTATAAATGCAAAATTTATTTCATTGATAATGTGCATTCGAGCCGAAAGATTTATAATTGCGTCGCACTTTACGTTTACACATAATTAAAATTACAGTGTGCGACAAGTTATAGGTGTAATTTCATCCCCAATCTTTATGGAAAAAAAATAATACCCCAATGTAGTATGTATTTGTTCAGACTTGTTCAGCATTCCATCGAAATCAAAATGATCCGAAATGCTCTTCAAAATCGTCAGAATAAAGTATTGGATTGGAATTGTGTTATTTTGATATTCGAGAAATGAAGAGGGTTTTTAGTATATTTTTGGCTTAATTCGTCGACAGTTGAACATAAAACACCATGGATTGATCCAATTTCCAATTAGTCTTGGTACGCTCGTAGCTCCATTTAAAAGTACCCCCTTACCTAGTGTATTAGGTAACTGATTTGCTGTTGGCAATTTACCACAGGACAAAGCATTCTACAAGGGTGGGGTATGGAAATTAAAACTAAATAGGCGTCCAGTTATTGAGATTGTATTTTGGTAACATTATTACAGACAGTTTTGCAGCGGTTGATCCGAAAGAACAATGTGAAGAGCCCGGAAGTGATGTAAATCTTTGTCCGGGTTTCATCCAAAGAAGAGATTTCTGTGTTCAAATAATATTTAGAATTTGTTGACAGAAATGGCATAGACAAACATTGTCCATTAACTAATGTGTCAATTGCGTTGTCCCAAATATAAAAAGATTTTTTTTATACAGTTTTGTTTGGACGTTTATTATTATACTTCATAAAATGCCAATTTGTAAACCTTGAAGTTTTTATTATCATAACAGATAAAGATAAAATATATTTTATTAACGTGTCACCATCTGCATGTATACAAAGGTTTTAAAATGTAAATACACAGTTACATAAAGTAAAAAGTAGATGCCAGCCGATAACGACTTATGAGACACGGTTAAAATTTCACATTAGTATATCAATAAATTACATAAATAGGAATAAAACAAGAAAAATAATATCAAAGTACTAAGTTAAAATAACATACATGACAAGGAGTTGGGTCGCCTGTCCAACATCATGGGTTTTCTCCGGGTCCTCCGGTTTCCTCCCACTGCTAAAGACCACTACGCGCAAGCGAATTATTGAAATAAAATTAAACCATATGTTAGTCCCGAAATGACCTAGTTTGTGTCGAGTGGACGTTAAACCCCATTTCTCTCTCCCTCTCAAGTTGGATTGGAGAGTTGTGACAATAAGCTTACAGATGCACGCCGAAATCGATAGCGAGAATGCGGCGATTCCCTTTTTGCATGCTACGTCATCAGTTCTCGAGCCCCCTCTCCCCACGGCGACAGAAGAACTCGCTCGTGAAAATGGCTTGGACACTCTGAAGTCGTAAGTGAATTCCGTGGTTATCATACCGAAACACATCTCTTTCAAATATACCAGCCTTTGTATGGCACTGTTAGTCCGATCCTTAATGTAAATCCGTTGGCTTTTCGGGTAGAAATCGTGGAATTGGCTTTATTTTGGAGGTTTCGATGTTTAATGACAAAAAACAATGTTGACATTTTTTCTGAGTATTTCTTCATGGTATGGAAGGCCATTATCGGAGGGCAGCCATTTTCGATAATATATTCCAACTTATTTTTTTTTTATTTTCACCCTATTTTTAATGTTATTGACATATCAACTGTGATTTGGCACTGTATTAGTATTCACAGGGGTCATGACTATATTTCAGATTTTTTCCCATCACTCCATGAAGATATTTCCAAGATGGCGGCCATTTTAGTGGGAAAATGGGACGATGTGAAGATTTTGTTTAATGTTTTCGGGGTCGCAGGTTCCATACAAACTTGTAAAATGATCACAGGTTCACATAATTAGCATATTTCCAAGTTGACTGCAATTTTTGGCGGGAACATGAAACGATGGGAAGATTTTGATTAAGTAGCAGTGTTTGGTGTCAATATATATGTTTTCGTGGTCGTAGATTCCATTTCTGACATTTACAACCTTGTAAATTGATCACATGGTCACATACTTAATATATTTCCAAGAGGACAGCCATTTTTGACGGAAATTGGGACATGTCCAGATATTGATTAAGTAGTAGTGTTTGATGTCAATATAATATATGTTTACGGGGGCGCAAAATTCATTCCTGACATTTACAACTTTGTAAAATGATCACATTTTCACATATTTAGTATATTGCCAATATTGTTGCCACTTGTGGCGGAAAAATCGGACAATTTGCTGATTTTGTTTAAGTAGTTGTCTTTGGTGTCAATATATATGTTTTGGGTGGCGCAGGTTCGATTTCTGCCATATACAACTGCGTAAAATGCGATTTCTCCCATATACAACTGCGTAAAATGATCAATGATCAATAATTTAGCATATTTTCAAGTCGGCAGAACGTTTTCTAAACGTATTATTATCATATATTTACTTGTCGTTTTTATTTACGCGTTTCTGCGTCAATTCTGCTATTAGCTTGTAGCACATTCCTGAAAGCCGGTACCGTGTCGGACCCATTTGATATATAACCAACGATGAAAATTACTGATCCGAGATGACCACTGAGCTGATATTGGTTTTCCTGGGAAAGAAAAAGCTATTCGCTTGGTCAACTGCCACCAGTTCTTTCAATGTGGATGGCAGGGATGTCATAGATGACGGGTCACGTCGTCGTTTAATTGGTGATATAATTTGTTTGCAACAGCTTTCGTTTGGACGACTCCTTCCACACGCATATTTATGTCAGTTCATAACATAATCTATGCCACGATGGTTTTTTTATAGCAAGTATTACTATTTCATTTGCATTCCTTGTTTTTTATTTCTTTGTGTACCGCTTTATATTTAATATATTTAACATTTCTGTTCTTCTTTTTAATTTATTAATTACCTTTTCAAAAGTGTCACATTTTTAACCATCGTTAATTTTGTATATATAACTGACAGACAACATAAACTGAAGGTCTCTATGGCGCCAACAAGTCTTAAAATCAGACTGATCGACCAAGTAAATGCACTTTTTTCCTGGAAAATCGATATTAGCTCAGTGGTCAACTCGGATGAGGAATTTTCATCGTTGGATAATATACCTAATGGGTATACACGGCAATGGCTTCCAGGAACATACTACAAGCTTATACATAGCAGAATTGGATTCAGAAACCGTTTCAGTAATGTGTTTAGAAAACGCCCTGCCACAAACGGCAGCCATCTTAGAAATATGCTGAATGAGTGAACTTACCATCATTTTACGCAGTTAGTTGTTAATGGCAGAAATCGAATATGCGTCCAGAAAATATATTGACACAAAACACGACTTCTTAATCAAAATCAGCACATTGTCCCATTTTTCTCGCCACAAATAGCAGCCATAAACGGCAGGAATGGAATCTGCGACCCGAAAACAGATATATTTACACCAAAGACGACTACTTAATCAATATTAGAACACCGTCCCCATTTTCCTGCCAAAAATGGCCACCATCTTGGAAATATGCAAAATAGATGATCATGTGATCATTTTACACAGTTGTAACTGGGAGAAATGGAATCTGTGCCCCTGAAAAGATATATATTGACACCAAAGACGACCATTTAATCAATATCAGTACATCGTCCCATTTTCCCGCCAAAAAATGGCCGCTATCCAGGAAATATGCAAAATAGGTCTACATGTGATCATAATAAAATAAAACCAAGTACGAACAATCCAAACCATTAGACAAAATTCGAAGTCCTAAAAAAAACGGTATAGGCAAAATAGTGTAATAAGGCAAAATAGTGTAATCAGCATATGGACTGTTCACCGTGTACAAAATACACGACAAACAGTGGTACAGGTGTCCGGAAGAGTAAGCTTACCCACAGTTGTAATTGGCAGAAATTGAATCTGTGCCCCTGAAAATATATTTTTTGACACCACACACTACTACTTGATCGAAATAAGCACATCGTCCGATTTTCCCGTCAAAAATGGCCGCCATCTTGGAAATATCTTCATGAAGTCATCGAAAAAAATCTGAAAAGTTGTCACGACCCCTGCCAATAGTAATACATTGCCAAATCACAGTTAATATGTCGATCACATTATAAATAAGGTAAAAATAAAAAAAATAAGTTGGAATATTATCGCAAAATGGCTACCCTCAAATAATGGGCTCCCAAACTATGAAGAACTACTCAGAAAAAATGTCAACATTGGTTTTTTTATCATTAAGCATCAAAACCTTCAAAATCAAGCTTATTCCACGATTTCTACCCGAAAAGCCGACGGTTTGGAATTTTGTAACAAACCCAACCGGACTATGTATGGTGGTCGAATAAAAGCGAAATGATAAAACGAACCGACACTTTCAACCAGCGCACTTTTTGCTCTATTAACGATGAACTGGCCATCACGTTTTGTCAAGAATGCGGATTTTTCTGAACCGTGAAAGTTTGTCACGTCTTCCGAGAACGACAACGACTTCATTTTGTTCTCGTCCTCGTTTTCGGAAGGCATCTGAACTTCTCTAATAATTGGGGCCCTTCGTAAGTTTGGGACCGTTTTGAGGCTTGAATTTATGTCGGTTTAGATGAATTGGTAAAATTGTCACCCGCTCAATGTGTACATCAGCTACAAACAGTATAATAGCAATTTGGAATAGAGTGGGTACCCCTCATATATAGGGCCAAACTCAGGGGCCTTTAGTCTACAGCTCGTCCCTGTATTAATATGCCTTTAATTATACTAATTTTTTGATATGGATATAAATTTAGAAATTCTACCAGTATAAATTAGCTAAGTATTTAACTCAATATTATCCACAGTCTTCGACATTGAAAACACGAATTATTTGTCAATTTAAATCAACATTGATGTTGTGATCTTACCGAGAAGAGATGAGCTTCTGATATCTATTATTCAAAACAAAATAAAGATTTTACCATTGGTACACGAATCGTGTACCAGAATGCGTTTCAGCCCATTTGTAACAAGGGACTCGAAGAACGAGCCTAGACATATTCAAACGCTGACGCCATATTCTTATCTGAAGACCATGCGCAATAAATACTATCGGTGTAGACTGAAATAACCAGGCGCTAGACATTGTCATTCAATTGAGACTTCTCGCGTAGTTCGCCGAACATAACTGATTTGAAATTAGAGTAAAAACGGAAACGATTTAATGTAAATTAGTTTATATACATTCATATTACATTATTAAATGCGTTACGACCAATTTGTGTCAATTTCTAGGCCCCAAATATTAGCGATTTAGCTCCTTTAAACTCATTACATAGTACCCCCGCAAATGATATTCTGTTTTCATCTCTCGATGATATTGTTAAATGTGAATGTCATTTTGATTACCAACTAAATTAAGTGGTATTTTAAAAGAAAAATCTGGCGACACTATATTTTTTATTTACACTTATATGATGACTGGACATGATTTGAGTTAGATTGATAACGATATTGCAGCTTTAAGCTAATATCTTGTTTTCTATCGTAATTACAATTTTCAGATGTCTGACGCCCCACCACCATATGGCGCTCCTGGTCCTCCGCAACAACCCTACAATGGCCATCCTCCGCCACCACCACAAGGTTACTACCCGCCTCCACCACATGGTTACTACCCACCGCCTCCCATGCAGGTATTAAGTTACGACTATTTTGTAATTTTGCAGCATCTAGAATATTCAATATAATCAAGCATGTTTAACTGCGAAAGAACTGGGTCCAAAGGAATTTGGTTAACAGATAACCAGACCTTATTCATATACAAACGATTATCTGTAGAAATGTTTAGTATTATGAAGCATATATATTGTGTCAACTGCCTCGTTGATGAAGATGGCCACTGTCTTTACTTAGACAAACTTTGTTAGTAATCTATCTATGCCATTTTTTCAGCAACAACAAACATCGAACAACGTTGTGGTGGTTAGCCAACCAGCGGCATCTAACACGGTGATTGTAAAGGAGTAAGTAATATTTTATCTATGGATGCTCGATGTATCTTCAAGGTGAAAGATGAAATGTGAAACACAAATTAATCTAGAGAAGGGACACGATCTGGATTTAAAGCAAAATGTCGGCCTCCATAAACCACCAATTAAATAACTTGCCACTTTATTTTTGATGCTAGACTGCGTTTATTTCTGACCTATTTTCCTTGCAAGCGGTGGTTACATCAGGTGAATTGACTGACCAATCATATCGTATGTAATGGTAAACAATGATGTTTCGTGGGAAATTATAAAAAGTGACTAAAAGTGACCCCAGTTTGTCATAGCGGATGTAAGCATTTGGCAAATGAATGACTGATAAACATAGTACCTTCATTGACAAAACACTGTGATATTAGAAAGTTACTTAGGTTATAGTGCAGTGTAAAAAATAAAACAAAATAAACGAAACGAAATAATAATATTTGTTTGTTTGATCCAATCAGTAATCAGTCCATGTTTTGTGTCTCTTTCATGTTTCAGGTTAAATGTTTATTGTATTTAATGATTATTATATTTTTTTTACTGTAGGCGAGGAGTAAACCACCCTTTGCATTGTATAATCACATTGTTCTGTCCCATCTGGATTTTTGTATGGATTATCTTGGTAAGTGCCACTCCCATCTTCACCACGATAGTAAGATCTGAAGTAATGGTAGGGAGAGAGAGAGAGACAGATAGATTTGGCGTCCACTCGACACAAACTAGATCATTTTGGGACTAACATATGGTTCAATTTTATTTCAATAATTGGCTTGCGCGTAAGGGTCTTTAGCTATGGGAGGAAACCGAAAGACCCGAGAAATCTAACGACTATGAACAGACTATCCAACTCCTTGTCACGTACAAGCGGTGAATCTAAACAACGCCATTTGCCTCAGTGACAAACCTTATGATCTAACGGGCACGCGTTTAACCATTCGGCAACCCAACCCCCTCTTAAATAATGGTCCGAATTCATTTCAAATGTTAAATTAATAATTAGTCCGGTGGGTCTAAATTCCCAACTACTGAGCGCAACTACAAACTAGGTTTCCGTTGTTTTGTAGTTTTAAAACTGATCGTAATATAGCTGTTAAAAATTGGGATTTAAGAAAGACGCAAAAGAAACGAAATATGAATATTTTCAAATTCAGTCCATAGCGCATGGTTATGCATAATATTATAACAGTATGAATTCTTTTAGTAAGAACTTTCGTCGTCGTTAACCTGCTTTTGGAATTTTTCGGGACTTCCCCGTTATATTGTAAATTCTTCATTTCAAATTTGATTAATAGGTTTAGTTACACTTAGTATGGGTAGGAATAGATCAAGTTCCAGTTTCGTCGCGGACGTTGGCTTATTTTTAGGGGGAATTACGGCCTTCGTGCTAAGTAGCTATTATTCTACAAGATATATGTAATTTAATATGCATGTTCACTGTACCGTACGCCATGCAACCAGACATGTGCTCGTGTTACACCATCTAAAAGATTATTATTTTTGAGACTATAGTATGGGACATTTATAATTTAAACATACATTATACCAGACTTAGAGAAATGTGTTGGTCGTTATTGCTATAAAAGTTCCAAAATAGATAATGAAAAATCAGTTGAACATTGCAGTCAATTTATACTTTAGAGCTCTGAATGTTTGAAGTTTGACAAGAAACAGTAGTAATTGGCAATCGAAACTCCACCAACTGTTCATGTCCTCGATAATTGCCATTATAATGATCGACAGTCTCTGGCCATATTAACCTTAACACACATATTGTCTAATCCACTCAATGTATAGGCCATCCGATGCCAATATAGTTTTTTTATTGGCTTGTCATGTAAGAAAATGTCTAAATAATATTTTGAATCATCCAAGAAAACACCCGACAATAGACAAGATTAGACAAAATAATTCTTGTGTTGGAATTTGTTTGCAGAAAACTACGTCAAAAACGATTAATATGACCTGGGAAATGAGAAAATCTTAGGGTCGGCGCTGTGGTCTAAAAAAAATAGAGTCGGTCGGTTAACTGTAAACACGGGTATTTTTTGTCTTGGCCTTAGTAGGAGACACATATAGTTTTAGGATTGCTCTTAGAATGTGTGTTTACTAAATAAATCATATATTTTACTGGATATGAAATTGATTTCACAATGTTCGGTCGTTATATACGAGAACTAGATTGTGAATGGTACAAAATTAGCATTGTTATCTCTCTTATCAGAGAAATATACAGTTTGCCCTTAAATCGCTCATGGCAATTTTGCAGAGGAATATTGCGTAGTGGATTAATAATGACATCCCCGTCATACTTCTGTTGTCTTAAACCCAGTAGACTTCATCTTTCTAAATCCAGGTTCAAATTATCGTTCGTTGGGGTCGTACACACTGTAGGATATCCTTACTATCTCTATAACACTTGATGCCACTTCTCGTTTGAGAAGTTGACATAGCTAACATTTTATTGGTGTACTTTTGTATTAATATACCAGTTAAATGAATGTTTTATTTTATAAATTTAATTTTACAGTGTATCACTGACGGTTGTTAGACAAGAAAACCATGTGGAGAATGTGGGACGACTGATCTAATCAACCATATATTCCAAACACAACTCCATTTTTAAGTGTGATATAGATGTTACAGCTTGATAATACTGACAGTGTTCAAACCATCAAACCAGAACTAGAATGTACCCATATTATTTCATGGTGATTAAGGGGCTGGTGTTCCAGGAAAATGACATACATAAATAAAAAAAATGGTTAAAATCGGTTAGCTATAACGAAAGTCATCACAAATTAAAGAAATTTTTAAATATTTTGTTTTTCAAATGTTAACCAGTAAAGTCTTATTTTGCCCCTTTAAAGGGACTGTTATTTTAATACAATTAAGAAAAGTTATACAAATACAAATACAAATACAGTTTATTCAATACCTTTGGCCTTCAGCCTATAGTACAAGTAAAGCATGTGTAACAATCAAAATACAGAACCTATCTAAAGTGATCAATATTACAAACAAAACAAAATCCAATATTATAAATAATATGAAAATACATATTTATCGCATGTCCCGTTATACAATTCTATATACACAGATCACAATATAGTACAGTATACTCAATACATTAATATTTCGGTTCTCACGTCTAATGCTAATTTGATATAAATAGCTAGATTTTTATATACAAATTCTGATTTACATTGAAATAGTTTACGTAACTTATATTCAGAAGGGTTATTGTGACAGTATAATGGTAAGAAGTTCAAACGAAGATCTCTTAAGACTGGACATACGAGAATGAAATGAAATTCATCTTCCATTTTACGCATATTACATATGTTACATAACCTCTGGTCACGTGGTGTATTGGATCGGCGCCCCATTTCTATGCTAAGAGTATGGGTTGAACATCTTAGATTAGCCAATGCAAATTTTAGAACATGAGATAGGTTACTGTTTAAATATGGTTCACAAAATAATTCTGTTTTTATGTCAGAGTAAAATTCGCATCTACTTGATTGATTAGTGAATGTATGCCAGTCTTGGAAATTGATGTCTTGAAGTCGCAGCTTAAAAACAGACATAAAATGTTTTGTATCCCCCACGCATTCCACACATAACCAAATCCAAGTCTATATAACATTAATTTAACATCAGAGCACCAATTTGTCCTACCTACAAGATCCAAGTTGTATAACATTTCGTAGCACTGCTTAGGGAGCCTGTGATTTTCCATTTGCTTTAATGTTAAGAAATACTTTATAGGTCTACACATATAGTTTACACTTAGTTCGTATCTGCCACACTCTGCTCGTGTTATAGCATTCGTAGTTTTTTGCCCGGTACAAGTCAGCCATTTGCAAAATGAATTTTGTACACTTTCAATTTCGGGTTGAAATGACAATCCCCATATTTCAGAACCGTAATATAGGAGGGGAGCAACCATTGCGTCAAACAGTTTAAAGGCTAGGGTACAATTTCTATTACCTAATTTTAACATACAATGCTTAATTGTGTTCAACGATTTGGAGGCGTGTAGGGCTAGTGTTTTACAACAAGAAGACCATTTTAAACGACTGGTAAACATGATACCTAGGTATTTGTAATGATTAACAGTTTTCATCTGAATTCCCCTATAATACCACTTTTCTATATGTGATACCCCACCGCCATTTTTGAAAACAACAACATTAGATTTATCAACATTCATAGACATGTTCCATTTCAAACAATACTTATCTAACATATTTAGTCTCTTTTGTAAGTCCCCAACCGTTTCAGCAAACAAAGTCAGATCATCGGCAAATAAGAGTGCAAAAATATCATTGATAGAGTTGTTAATAAATATCCCATGGCCACTATCAGTTTTCAACATTTCTATCAATTCGTTAATATACATTCCAAACAACCAAGGGCTTAAAATGCACCCTGTCTTACGCCGGAGTTACACGTAAAGGGAGTAGATAAATTGCCATTTATCCTGATTTTAGCAGTAATAATGTGGTATATACTTTGGAGTGTGTCTATCATTGGACCATGAATGTCGTTTTTTATCAATAAGTAAAACAATTTACATCTATTTATACAATCAAAAGCTTTACGAAAGTCGATAAAAGCACAGTAAAATATACCACCTTTTGATTTCGATAGATACTTTTGAATTAGGGCATTTAGAATAAACATATTATCTATTGTGGAGTATCCCTCACGGAAACCTGCTTGTTCTTCGACTATCAACGCCTGCTCGTCTGACCACAATGTTAGTCGAGTTTTCAAAATCGATACGAATATTTTACTAATAGAGTTAAGAAGTGATATACCTCTATAGTTACCCGGATTGTTTCGATCAAGGTTATCTTGTACGGAAATAATAGCCGAGTGTTTATGGTCTTAGATTCTATATTTGACATTTCACATGCAACTTTGGCCATTTAATTATTTATAATTAACACTCTTTGTACATACTCTTACATTTAAAATAAACATAATATGTACCAATCCACATTTTGAGATTGTATGCAACTTAAAACGAGATTTGATTGTACTTGAAAGAAATAACATACATGTATATACATTGTAAATGCATTTCAGATTTTCAGTATTAAATGGCACTGAAGTAAAATAAGATTTTCCTTTCGTTTCATATCTATAATTTCGTTGGTTTACACTTTAGTTTCAGGATTAGCCACAAAACTGAAACGAAAAAAGATCTAATTTTCATGATTAACTGGTTTTAGCTTTTTATATTGAATTATTCCAGAAACGGAATACTGTGGTATTTTACATGCTGTATAAGACAATATTAGCGGTTTCAATCTGTTTGGCAGAGGTGATGTGAAAGCCTTCGTGTAACTATGTGCATGGTCACTGACCTTTAACTTCACGTGCAGTATATGTCTACGGCTAAATCTGTTTGTTAAGGCCAGCTCAATTTTTTGTCAAAGTCGCTGAGATGTAAATAAGGTTAGGGCACGTGATTGTTGGCGAGATTGTAGGTTAAGTTTAAGAATTTGGGGGAGAGTTTGAGTCTCCACATAAGCACTGACCTAGGATGATGAAAATTCAATTCGTGATATTTCCTGGTTTTAGAAAAATACATACAATACATTGAATTTTATATTCAAAGTTGTTTTCGCTGTTTTTGGTGTTGGTGGCGCTGATGGTCTTCCTTAGGTAGTGTGCATGTGGTATTCTGGTATCTTTGTTTTTGAAACCAGCGCCTGCCAGGCAGGATACGCCCACATTTTGCTAGAGATGGATAGAGAACAAGCTAAAAACAAACGCGATTTTTTGTACAATCAGGTGCAATAATCCAGAAAGTTATGGTCTGAAATGCGCAAATATCAAAAGGGACTGAGATCTTTGGGATATAAAGATATGATTTAAGTTTCACCAGAATCGGACAAAAATTGTGACCTCTAGAGGGTTGACAACCTTGGTATTGCATACTTTTACATAATTTGCGAACAAAGAGCGGCCATTTTGTTGGGCAGTTTCATTTCGATTTTCTCGAAATTCGAATTCAACCTTCATTATGGTGGAATGGTGAAATATTTAAACGGTTTTTAAAATCGGAAAAAAATTGTGATCTCTAGAGAATCCGCAAGCTAAAAATGCCATTTTTCGAACAATCAGGGGCCATAATCCAGGAAGTTAAGTTCGGGTATCCGCGATTATCAAAAGGATCCATGATTTTAGTGTGTAATGGTGATATATTCACACATATTTTTTTTAAATCAGATAAAAATAGTGACCTCTACAAGGACCACAAGCTAAAAACGCGATTTTTCGTACAATCAAGGGTCATAATTCAGAAAGTTACTATCCGATATGCCGAATATCGAAAGGAACCAAGATCTTTGGGTTATTAACTTACATTTCAAGCTTCATAAAAATCAAAAGAAAATTGTGACCTCTAGAGGGTCCACAACATTGATATACCATATTTGTTACACTATTTGAGTACGAGGGGCGGCCAGTTTGTCTGTCAGTTTTGGTCCGATATTTACGAAATTCGAACTCAACTATCCTTAAGGTGTAATGGTGATA